ACACACACACACACACACACACACACACACACACACACACACACACATACACACATACACACACCATTACTGCTCATATTTACGAGCAGGGAATCAGGATGTGTCGCAGATTCATGTCGAGGAAGAATAGAAGTCACACAGACACTAAAACTGAACACACACCGACAGTGAAAACACACACACACACACACACTCACACACACACTCTGCAGGAGTTAATGTGCTCCATGAGGTAGAAAATGTAGTCGCAGTGTGAGGAGGAATTATACTGATGGTAATGTACTGCCAGACTGTGTGTGTGTGTGTGTGAGTGTGTGTGTGTATGTGTGATTTACGTGTTGATGGCAGCGTTGCCTGTTAATCTGATACGAGTCATTTAAACTGTTCCGCTTCATCTTTACTTAAAGCAGCTGCTGCTTAAAAGAAAACTTCAAGACAAGTAGACATGTCCTCCCTGCAATAGTTTGAAGCCTCACAAACATATCAATATAAGCACACATACACACACACACACACACACACACACACACATTCACGCACACACATGTTCCCATATGACTCGGATGTTAACTATAAAATGAGAAAATGATATCTGTTTAACAAAAACAAGACTAAATTAATATTAATACATTTGAATATAAATGAGAGCTGTCAGACATTATTAATTAGAGATTATCATTCAGAGATAATTAATCTGAGATAATTAATCCGACATTATTAGATAATTGATGACGACTGTTGATTAGCAGCAGTGAGTTTATGTTTCACGTTGTTTTTTGCTCTAATTTTCTTATTTTAAATCTTTCTCTGTAATTCTTCACTGTTTCTTTCAGCATGTGACATATTAAAGTTTGATCGAACATTTTACTTTGTACGATGGATCATCTTTTGCTTACAGCTTGTTTTTCCTTCTTATCTTTTTATTAACTATAATTATTCATTGTTATAAAAACTACAACATATATGACTAGTGATTGTTTTGTTACAATGAAAGTTATTCCGACCTACTTTGACAACCGCAGAAGTCAACAGCAAGGAGAAAGACACACACACGCACAAAAGTTCATCGGTTCGTGTAATTGGAGACTAGAAAAGCTGTCAGGAAGCTGTGTGTACTCAACATGATGTTCATCGTGTTCTAAAGGTCTTCTCATTGTGTTCTCATCTCAAACCTGATGGACTTCAGCACCACGGACAGAGTCTACGGGCTGACGGACTTCAGCACCACGGACAGAGTCTAAGGGCTGACGGACTTCAGCACCACGGACAGAGTCTAAGGGCTGACGGACTTCAGCACAACGGACAGAGTCTACAGGCTGACGGACTTCAGCACCAGGGACAGAGTCTAAGGTCTGACGGACTTCAGCACCAGGGACAGAGTCTAAGGTCTGACGGACTTCAGCACCAGGGACAGAGTATACGGTCTGACGGACTTCAGCACCACGGACAGAGTCTAAAGTCTGCCGGACTTCAGCACCATGGACAGAGTCTGTAGTCTGATGGACTTCAGCACCACATAAAGAATCTAAAGTCTGATGGACTTCAGCACCATGGACAGAGTCTAAAGTCTTCAGCACCACGGACAGAGTCTCTATCTAACGCAGTAGTGTGATTGGAGATGAGCCGCTGGAGGAGGAAGTATCCACATGCCTGAAGTCGGACGGATGGAAGTTGGTTTGCTTCACTGTGGAGATCTAAAGGTGGAATCACCGATGGAGGCAGATGATTATTTAGCAGAAGGATCATTAGATTAGTTTAGTGATTACATTTAAGGCAGCAAGAGACACTTAAGTATTCAAGCAGAGGAGCAAAAGCACAGTAAAGTGCAGAGTAGTATACAGAGTACACAGACTGAATTACAGAATAACCAGAAGCATATATGTGCAATAAACAGCCTATGAGCAGTATGAACTGTGTGTGTGTGTGTTCATGTGTTCATGTGTGTGTGAGTGTGTGTGTGTGGTCAGATGTGTTTGGGCCTGTCCGTCTAATTAACACCAAATGCTGGACAGGTTTTCGACTAATTATAATCAGCAGCTAGTTTGAACATGGAGCTAATTAACAGCTATTATGAGGAACAGATATTTAAAGGATGATCACAGATAACAGAGCGTTGTTATATATTATAATATAATTAGTACGCTTTCACTTTAACTTCATCTTCATTTTTTTAACCGTTAATTTTATTAAATGTTGTTGAAATTATCTTTTCTGTTAATATTATTTGAGTGTGACTGATGAGCAGTCGACGTGATTCAGTTTAAAAAAGCTGAAACGGATAAAACAGATTTGAGATCTACGGCAGACAGACGGGGTCAAACTGAGCGACAGGGAGATTCAGACTTTGACATTTTACTGCTAAACAACTTAATGTCAGCTGTCAATCACTGCTGTCACACACACACACACACACACACACACACACACACACACACACACACACACACACACACACACACACATACACAGGTTTTTCCAAGTCTGGAGAGTCGTCCTGCATTTCCAGACTGGATTGTGTGATGTGAAGAGAGGGGGAGGAGGAGATAGTTAAATGAGGAGATAATGAGGAGTCCATCATCTCACCTCTACATGTTACAGTGAATGAAAACAGACATTCCCATCGTCTTCTTCTGTTCTTCATCACAGTGAGGAGGAGGAGGAGGAGCTTATTCAGGTCTCGTCTACACGTAAACGGATATTTATGAAAATATTTGTCTCCTCTTCATTCATGAGAACACAGCAGGTTGTGATCAAAGCTATGTCAAAGAAAAAGACTCTTTGAGCTTATTTTCCTTTGACGTATTAACAGATGAATCAACAGTGAAACAACAGTATTTCATTATTTCTTCTTCTTCTACTTCAACATATTTAAAAGCATTAACATCTTTCAGGTACACGGTCCGATGAAGCGAAACCGACATGTGACTCATGATGAGGTGGGTTCTGCTTAGATTCCCTTTGTTGGTTCTGGAGCTGCTCACTAAGTAACAATGTTGCATCGTTTCCACATAAATACAAAGTAACCAGTTTAACCAAAACAAAGTAACCAAAGAGTTTGGAAAGATGAAAGAAAGATGCCTTTGAAAGGCGTTTTCAAAAATCTCTTTTAGTGAGTTTAAGTTCTGTTTGTGAAGATAAAAACCCGGAGGAACCGATCAACAAGCCTCAGTGTGTCACCGGTTCCTTCAGAACCATGAAAACTAGAGCGAGCAGCTGTTGATCAAACTACATTTTTGTGTAATTAAAGATGTAGAGGCTGTTTGTTGTTGGGTCTCCGGGTGGACATAGATCCACATGAGCTAGAACCCCGGGGAACCCCATCTACTGTCTCTCCAGGTGGACATAGATCCACATGAGCTAGAACCCCGAGGAACCCCATCTACTGTCTCTCCAGGTGGACATAGATCCACATGAGCTAGAACCCCGAGGAACCCCATCTGCTGTCTCTCCAGGTGAACACAGATCCACATGAGCTAGAACCCAGAGGAACCCCATCTGCTGTCTCTCCAGRTGGACACAGATCCACATGAGCTAGAACCCAGAGGAACCCAATCTACTGTCTCTCCAGGTGAACACAGATCCACATGAGCTAGAACCCTGAGGAACCCCATCTGCTGTCTCTCCAGGTGAACACAGATCCACATGAACTAGAACCCAGAGGAACTCCATCTACTGTCTCTCCAGGTGAACACAGATCCACATGAGCTAGAACCCTGAAGCTCGTTAAGCCACTTCAGAGAGGAAACAAGGAAGCGATTACATATTTAATTAATCAGCGTTTGTAATTATGTGCTGCTCTTCCCGCTAAGCTGCTTCCTCTCCGGTTTCATCTTGGAGCCCGAGGCTCTGGACCAATCACAAGCCGGGCCCTGTGTGTCGACCAATCACATATCAGCTGGATCTCATTCTGTGAAAGTTTCCTTCTTAATAACGTTGATCCTCGTAAAAACAGAATCTCATTCAGTCTTTTCTCGTTACGACTTGTTAAATCTCATTTAAAATATTAAAGAAAATTAAAAAAATGTCAAAGTTTAATTTACTGGAAACCAAAAAAGACACAAAGATATTAAAAGATTTAAATTTATACTACTACAGCTAATACTACTACTACAACTAACACTCTAATGATACTACTACAACTAATACTACTCTAATAATACTACAACAACAACTAATACTACTCTAATAATACTACAACAACTAACACTACTCTAATGATACTACTTCAACTAATACTACTCTAATAATACTACAACAACTAATACTCCAATGATACTACTACAACTAATACTCTAATGATACTACTACAACTAATACTACTATAATAATACTCCATTAATAATACTGTGATAATACTACTACGTCATCAACACATCTGAGCTAAAGATAAAGTCAATGACATCATCAGAGTGGGTTAAATGTTCAATCAGCTCGTCAACACAAAATAATGGGCAGCTGCCAATCAAACTATGTTTTAACGTCAAGCTTTATTCGGTGACACCAACTGTGTGTAACACACACACACGCACACGCACACACACACACACACACCTCCTTTCTTCCTGCCTTCCACTCTTTAGTCTTCTCTCATTAAAAGAGGAAAAAGAAACAGAAGAAAGAAGAAAGAAGCTCTAAGTGGAGGAGGAAGAAATGAAGACAGAAGTAGAGGATCTTTAAAGTATTAGCCTCTATCAATAACGACGATAAGAACATTAATTATAACAATTCTCTTCTCTTCTCAATGTATTGTTTGGTTATGTCATGAATATTAGTTGTATTGAAATGGCTACATTAAATATCACAAATGAAATGTGATGTTTGTGTGAATCCGGTCTGCTGTGTTTGAGCAGTGGCTCAGCAGCAGATGGTGCGTTCAGGGTCACACTCCTCACTCTGTTTCCCATATTCAGCTACACTTCATCTCTCCATTGACTTCCTTGCATTCATACATTTAACATTTCGCCGGCTCAGGGCCCTCTGGGGCCCCAAACATTATTCTGCTGTCAGTCACCGTGAAACACGGCCAGTAATGAGATTCTATCCAGAACCGACCGGCAGCATGAGAGGGAAATCACACCTACGCTGCTAAATGATTGACAGCACGTTGTCCTCCCATAATCCCACGCTGCAGACACCAGAGACGCTCGCAGACAGGAGATTGTACCCCAAAAAGATTCTCACATCTGGTATTCAGAGCGAGAGCGTGAAAAGATGAGAGCCGGTCCACCATCACCATCACCAGCTACAAACAGAAGACCAATCAAATCTCACCTGTGAGCATTTTATGAGACCTTAAACTTAAAGATCATTCCGATAAAACATTCTCACAGTTGGTGTTCAGATGGGAGATCGTCACATCATCACTGACCCTCAAAGACTTCTGTCTTTAGACAGAACAAAGAGCCCGAGACATCAGCGAGGCTCAATCTGTGGGACGGGACCCTTCAGGGATCTGCCAGAGAGTTCGAAAGTTGCAGTACAAGAAGCTACATCTTAAAGCTTGTTAAAAACTGCAGGTGGTCACCGATTTCTGTCCCATGAAGCACAACTAAACCTCTGAAAGTATTACATGGGCCGAAGTATTATCTCTTTTCTGAAGACAAGGTTCTGAAAAAATGTGTGTGCTTCATTCTCCCAGATGAGGAATCTCAGAGAAACGAGAAGATCTCAGACGGTCTGAAATAAGATATCATTTGAAAAACACATTAAATTGGGACGCAAAATGAAACTTTAGACACTGAACACGAAGGGAAACTGATATCCTACAACTTTGATCACTATTCTACATTAGTAATACTGATATATCACTATTCTACATTAGTAATACTGATATATCACTGTTCTACATTAGTAATACCGATATATCACTGTTCTACATTAGTAATACCGATATATCACTGTTCTACATTAGTAATACCGATATATCACTGTTCTATATTAGTAATACCGATATATCACTGTTCTACATTAGTAATACCGATATATCACTGTTCTATATTAGTAATACCGATATATCACTGTTCTATATTAGTAATACCGATATATCACTGTTCTACATTAGTAATACTGATATATCACTGTTCTATATTAGTAATACCGATATATCACTGTTCTACATTAGTAATACTGATATATCACTGTTCTACATTAGTAATACCGATATATCACTATTCTATATTAGTAATACTGATATATCACTATTCTATATTAGTATTATTGAAGACTGTTAAAGTCATCATGTTTGCAGATGATACAACTATGTTTCAACATGGGAAACCATACAACCCTCTATGTATATAGATAAATATATATATATTTATCTATATCTATACCTGTATGTGTATACACATATGTTTTTGTATTTGATTGTCTGATGTACAGAAGTCCGTGTCTTCAGCTCTGAACTAATCTTTGAGTTTTCATTCACGTTGACGTTCTTTAATTCTTTTAGACATGTTTGCAGCAGATTCATGAAAATATTTGATTCCTATTTAATTGAGATGTAAGTCAATAAAACAATCATTATTATATATCTTTCTTCACTTGATTAAAGTGAGTTCAACATGAAACAGTTTCTTGAAGCGACTCTAAATATAAAGGAGTCTGGTTGGATCAGTGTTTCTCAGCAGTCTGACCCTGACATGTTCCTGTTCACTGCACGCCGCCAAAAACACAGGAGACCTTCCCATCATGCATTTCAGCAGGCAGGGGGAGAAAAAAACACTCTGAAATATCACAACTTCTCTTTTCTGAGAGGCTGCTGAAGTCACCTCCCTCCCTCCCTCAACCCCCCATCCATCCATTGATCCATGCATTGATCCATCATCCATCCATTGACCCATTCATTGCTCCATCATCCATCCTTCCCTCCCTCCCCCCACCCCATCCATTTCTCTACCCTCCTCCCATGGTTTTATTAACCCCTCCTCAGTTTCAGAGAGAGAGAGAGAGAGAGAGAGAGAGAGAGAGAGAGAGAGAGAGAGAGGGAGGGGGGAATAAATAATCCATGGGGGAACGAGAGAAGAGGAGGGGAGGTGAAAAGAGGAGAGGAGTGCGTGTGATTCCTCATGAGGGAACAGAGAGGAGGGGAGAAGGAGGGGGGAGGAGGCAGAGTAAAATAGGAGATGAGAGGAGGAGGAGGAGGGGGAGGAGCAGTTAGACTCAGGATTATTGTTCCTTGTCGTCCTGGACCTTTTTTACACGAAGCTGCTGTCAGCTTTTGTCACAACTCCTCTATGTGAGCTCCTTTTCAACTCCTGCTCTATGTGAGCTCCTTTTCATCTCCTTTAGCAGCTTAACTCCTCTATGTGAGCTCCTTTTCACCTCCTCCTCTATGTGAGCTCCTTTTCACCTCCTCTATCTGAGCTCCTTTTCACCTCCTCCTCTATGTGAGCTCCTTTTCACCTCCTCCTCTATGTGAGCTCCTTTTCACCTCCTCCTCTATCTGAGCTCCTTTTCACCTCCTCCTCTATCTGAGCTCCTTTTCACCTCCTCCTCTATGTGAGCTCCTTTTCACCTCCTCCTCCATGTGAGCTCCTTTTCACCTCCTCCTCTATGTGAGCTCCTTTTCATCTCCTTTAGCAGCTCAACTCCTCTATGTGAGCTCCTTTTCACCTCCTCCTCTATGTGAGCTCATTTTCACCTCCTCCAGTCCTTTCTAAAGCTTCTCACTTCACCTCAGACTTCATGTAAAATGAACAGAAGGAGGAGGACAGAAATGACTCAAAGAGCATCGGAGCAAAGAATAAGTCACTTCAACTACTTTTACTTTTGTACAAACGTCTCCTGTTTGAGTCTTTGTACCACTTCAGTTACTCTGAGCATAAAGCCGCGGTGTGTGTGTGTGTGAGCATGTGTGTGTGTGTGTGTGTGTGTGAACGTCGGTGTGTGTGTGTGAGCGTGTGTGTGTGTGTGTGAGCGTGTGTGTGTGTGTGTGTGTGAGCATGGGTGTGTGTGTGTGTGTGTGTGAGCGTGGGTGTGTGTGTGTGTGTGTTTGTAGTGCGTGTGTCTACCTGTCAATGATCACGGGGTCTGACGGAGTCTCATTTCTGTTTCCACAGCTCTTCTTATCACAGCAGCGACTGACACAAAGACAGAATAATAAAAACTGGTTTAATCATTTCTGTTTGTCACAAACAAGATTCAATGTTACCTTTTGTTGAGGTACTGTAGGTACCGCAGGTACCACAGGTACCACAGGTACTGTAGCTACCGCAGGTACTACAGGTACTGTAGGTACCGCACCACAGGTACTGTAGCTACCGTAGGTACCACAGGTACTACAGGTACTGTAGGTACCACCGGTACTACACGTACTGTAGCTACCGCAGGTACCACAGGTACTGTAGGTACCGCACCACAGGTACTGTATCTCCAACCTCGCCTTCCTGTCCAAAGTGTTAGAGAAGGTAGTTGCTTCTCAACTTCAGGACCACCTCAAACACAACAACTTGTTTGAAACATTTCAGTCAGGATTTCGTTCAGCCCACAGCACTGAAACAGCTTTGCTCAGGGTGACGAATGACCTGTTGATGACAGCCGATGCAGGATCACATCTACCTTTCAGGCAGAACTGAATATGTCTCACTGGGAAGATGCAAGTCCAGACTGCTCCCCGTCTCCTGTGGTGTTCCGCAAGGGTCGGTCCTTGGCCCCATCCTCTTCATTATTTACATGCTCCCCCTCGGTCGTGTCATCGGCAGACATAGGATGTCTTTCCACTGTTATGCCGACGATACACAGCTCTACATCAAAACTGCCCCAAGCCCCTCTGCAGCCATGTCATGTCTCACCGCCTGTCTTGGGGAGATAAAGGCGTGGATGAGCAACAACTTTCTCCAGTTAAACAGTAGCAAAACCGAAGCCCTCCTTGTTGGCACTCCACACCAGGTTCAGTCATCCTCCATAACTCATCTCACCTTCGACGGTCAGGTCATCCCCCTCTCCTCCACAGTCACTAATCTGGGAGTTAGGTTTGACCCTTACCTGACCTTTAATGACCATATAAAACATCTGTGCAAAACCTTGTTTTATCATCTCAAAAACATCTCCAAACTCTGCCCCACTTTAACCCAGTCAGATGCAGAGAAGCTGGTCCACGCCTTTATCTCCTCAAGACTGGACTACTGTAACTCACTCTTCACTGGGATCACTGCCAAGAACATCCAGAAGTTCCAATACATCCAAAACAGCGCTGCCAGGATCCTGATGAGAGTCCGGAAGTATGAGCACATAACACCCATTCTGCACTCACTACACTGGCTCCCTGTCTTATTGACTACAAAGTCCTACTACTCACACATAAATGCATAAATGGACACGCACCTCCCTACCTACAAGACCTCATCACACCCCAAATCTCCACCCGCACCCTTAGATCATCAAACAGCTCGCTCCTCCAGGTCCCCAACACCAAGCTCCGCACCATGGGCGACCGGGCCTTTGGCTCGGCAGCTCCACGCCTATGGAACAGACTCCCTGACCACCTAAGGGCAACACAGACACTGGTCTCTTTTAAAACTGGCCTAAAAACCTTTCTATTCAGGAAGGCGTTTCTGACCTAAATCACTGTCCGTTATTTCTTTTGTGTTTCTGTTCATTCACTGTTTTTTTTTAATGCTTACTAGTTATTTTATTATAGTTTGTTTTAACTATGTTTTTTACTATGTACTGGCTCTGTGGCACTCTGAGATTTTTTTTAATGAAAAGTGCGTTATAAATAAAATGCATTATTATTATTACTTTAGCTACCGTAGGTCCTATAGTAGACCTAGTCGGACAGGTTGGAGATCGTCATGAAATGATCCGTTGGTCTTTTTGCAGGTCTCAGGTCTGGTTGCTGGTTCTTGGGTCTCTGTGAACCGGTTCTGACCGTCTTCCAGTCTCACATTCTTGACTGAACTCTGGACTACTTGCTCAAGGACTAAGAGTCTCATTAGGTCGGCAATGGTCAGACCTGGTCTTCGGGTGTAGGTGGACCAGGTTGAGGTGTGACAGGGCAGAGTGGTACCAGGTTTAACAGATTTGAGGGCCAGGTGTGACGGTGTAATCACGGTGGACTCACACTTCAGGAGGTCCGAGTACAGGTTCAGAAGCAGAGGGAGAAGGTCTTACCTGCACATGATCTCATGAGTCAGCAGGACTCGGCACATCTCTGGATTCTTATCCTGTCCTTCATAGATGATGGCCTGAAACACACACACACACACACACACACACACACACACACACACACACACACACAAAGGTGTGTTCAGGTGTCTGTAAAGCTGCAGCTCATTTCAGAAACAACTCCAGTGATTCGTGTAAATTAGCTTCGTCATTATTAGCCGTTAGCCTGAGTTAGCTAGTTAGCATGTGATCCTTTGAACGATGTTAATCTGTCTGAAACAGCTGGAACCAAACTCATCAAACAACGTTTAAACTCATCGAAGGACTCATTCGATTAAATGATTCAACTGCTGCTGGTTTCAATTAGTGACAAGAGAGAGAGAGAGAGAGAGAGAGAGAGAGAGAGAGAGAGAGAGAGACAGAGAGAGACAGACAGAGACAGAGAGAGAGCAAGAGAGAGAGAGACAGAGAGGGACAGAGAGAGAGACAGAGACAGACAGAGACAGAGAGAGAGCAAGAGAGAGAGAGACAGAGAGGGACAGAGAGAGAGACAGAGACAGACAGAGAGAGAGAGAGACAGAGAGGGACAGAGAGAGAGAGATTCTGATCTTCCCTCTGACATCATGACTTTGCTACGCTCTGATTGGCCAGGAGAGGAGAGACGTGAATGTTTCAATGTTAACTAACGATGTTCTTTCTTTACGTTTGTCTTCGGTTCACTTCTTTAGTGTCTCACCTGTTTGGTCATGGAGTCGATCAGCCGTACGTAGAGATCCTGCTCCGTCCTCACGCCTGAACACACAAACACATACTTATTACTGTCGTTATTGTTATCAATAATATTATTAACATTATTATTATTGTTATTAACATTAATATTGTTACTATCATCATTTACATTATTATTAACATTGTTATAATTGTTATTAACATTTTCTTATTATTATCATTTAGATTTCTTTACATATATTTCATCATCATCAGATTAAAAGTGGATTTTCACACATCAGAAGAACAACTAACGCGTTCATTAACACAACCTGTGGGGGCGGAGCTGTGCAGTAAAACAAGCGTACCCACCGTTACTGAAGAGCAGCTGCAGTTTGTAATGAATCCCGTTGTTGGTTTTCTCTCCACTCGGCTCCTGAACACAAAATATAATAATCATATTTAGAAATCAAAGACTCCTCTGGGTGTGTTTGGATTTTTCACCCTGATGGTTTCTAACTCAGCTCCACCCGAGTGTGAGGGTGCGTTTGGTTTGATGCTATCCCGACGTCTGTCACCGCTCAGACCTGTAAACTTGAGCTCAGGGGTGCGTTTGTTTTCAACTCCGGCTTCTCCCCAACTTCCTCTACCAACTCTGCACCAGCATGAAGAAGGAAGCGGTTCGATGCATTGGACTTATTAAGGTTAAGGTTAATCTTCAGGGGTGGAGTTAAGCAGGCTGTATCATGTGTGTGTGTTTGAGTTGTGAGTCAGTTTCTCCCTCACACGGACTTGTTTATTTGTCTGACTGTTCAGAGTGTGTCGGTGGTGACCTTACAGTGTATTTGGTTCGTGTCCCGGATCCTCCCTTACCTTGTCTTTCTCCACAAAGTCGACGTAGGTCGTGCGTTCGATCTCCACCGGCTGACCTTGCCGGTCGTACAGCGCCAACACGAAGTGGAAGAAGTTGGACTTCCTCAGGTTGGACGGAGGCTGCTTCTCAAAGTGAGCGCGGGCTAACCCCACCCCGCTGAGGACGGACACAAACAGCACGGTGAGACACGATATCCAACACACCCGCGTGTTTCCTGAATACATGAAGTTTCATGAAGAAGTGACGACTTTTATCAGACTGAAGAACTCAATAAATTGTGAAATTGATTATTAAATATTTCATTTTTCCTCCAAATTCAAACAAAGACATCAGTAAATCATTTCATATAACAGACGTTAATATTATTATTAAAACTCACATTAGAGTTATTTAGTCGGTGGTGACTTTGACTCCGCCCACACCTCAATGAAGACTCATTTTAAAATGTATGAAACATTTGATGAAGATGTGAAGATGATCGGTGGAGTTAAAACAGATCACCGTTAACCCCGTGTGACCTGAAGCAGCATCGCACCGGGGGTTAAATCAAACGCTCCTCAGAAGAGAAGACATCAAACATGTTGATAGTGAATCACTTTGTGACACGTTGAAATAATGATAATATAACTATAATAATAACTATAACAACAATAAAAATAATTATTCTTGTTATTATAATCAAGTGTTTGACAAAGTGAAGAGATAAATGATCTTCACGTTGGATGAGAGAGAAATTAAGATTTGAATTAAAGTAAATATTCAGAGCTTCAGGCTTTAACAACATGTTCATATAAATATTCATCATAAAGAAGTCAAACTTTGAACCGACTGAAACGATTTCCATCAATTTAATACGACGAGTCGGATTTTTAAATTCTGAGGAATTTTAATAAAAAGAGAGAAGAAAAATCAGAGAACCTGAAACACAAAATATTAAATCTATGAAATCAAGATAATAAATAAAAGAATCAGCGGATACACGTTCACAAGATCACAGGGTATTCTATTATATATACAATACTCTGAATATATATATATGTGTATATATATATATATTCATCAGAAATAAACAGATAATCTTAAAGATTGATTTCTTTATTGTTCACAAGAATAAAAAGAAAAGTCTGAATGGTTTCATCCCGATACGAGCAGAGATGAATCATTGCTTTTATATCTAAGCATCGTATAATTATTCATATTTTTAGATTCATATTGGCTCAGAAAACACATTTGATTAATTTATGTATATAATTTAAAGAACTTTGAAAATTTCACTATGAAGCAGAATTTGACTTTTATATTTAACCAATGCTGTCAAACTATTTCATCAGAACTATAATGTTTCAAATAAGACTAATATTAGTATATTTACAGTTAATAATCAAGTTCTAACCGATGAACATCTGCAGGATGTGAAAGTTTTTATGTTATTAAATATTATTAATAAAACATGGATTTTACTCTTTAGTTTAAACCTCAAGTATACTTAATTATATATATATATACACACATATATATATATATACATACATACATACATTTATATTTACATCTGTAAGTATAATACTCAACTAATTGTATATATTTCACATCTATAAATATAGATTTATATCTATAAATACCTTTCCATGTGTAGACTGTGATATATAACATAGTAATAAAGATGAAGGTTTATTATCTATAAATGTTCACATTGTGATGAAACATTTTTCTGTTTCTCTTTTGTGTCTCAGCTCAACATTAATAAAAAGATTTGATCCGTTCATAAATGTTCACTTTCTTCTTCTGATTAATGAGAGAGAAAAGGTTTTCCAATCAAACAAAAAATGACTTTTGATCAAAACATTTCGAATAAAAACATTTTTCATTTTCTGTTGGATGTAAAATTAGAAGATGAATTTATGATCTAAACGTTGCTGCCGACTGTCCGCCGGGACTACAGCTCCCACAATCCCTCTGGGGCGTTAGAGAGCGGCCGCTTTACCTCTGAGCCGCCGTGTTGGCGTTCACGACGCCGGTCGAATGCATCCAGGAGCGAACGGCCAGCGGCTCTTCCTTCATGCCGGCCGTGGCCCCGCGGGGAAGGTTCTCCTGGATCCCGAACATCTCCGGGGCCCCGAGGGTCCGAGACTGCACAACCACGAAGAAGAAGAAGAAGAAGAAGAATGGACAGGAAACAGAAAAGTCCAGCAGAAAACAAAAAGCAGATGTTCAGAGACTCAGAGTCCAAAACCGCTGACGAGCCGTTTTACTCTTATATCGGGTTCGATTGTTACTTATCCAACTTTTCCTCCGTTTTACATTTCATCCAACTTTTTACTCTGCGACTAACATTTCTCTTTTTTAAAGATACTTTTTTAAATTCTTGGCCGGCGTATTGAAACCTGGTTTAAAGGAAAGGAAGGAGGAGGAGGAGGAGGAGGAGGAGGAGGAGGAGGAGGAAGAAAAAATAAAAATAAAATCCTCAGAGGACAAAAAACGAGAAGAACAGAGTCGAGTCTGGACGGAGAATCGAGCGCAAGCTAAGTGTCTTTTTTTCTTTTCCCCAAAGAGAGGAGGAGAGAGGAGGAGACAGGAGTGATGATGGAGGGATGAGGAGTGGAGGAGAAACTCTCAGCCCTGCGGCCCCACAGGACTGGACGCCAAAACCCAAAAACCCCACGGGTCTTCCTCTGAGCTGCTGACGACATCACAGCCAGGGGCGGAGCCTGACCATTTAAGGACAGGAAGGTGAGAGAGGGTGTGTGTGAGAGTGTGAGTGTCTGAGGAGAAAGAGAGAGAGAGAGAGAGGAGAGGAGGGGTGTTTCAACCGACCAACCAGAGACAGAGAATGAACTCTCTGTCTGTCTGTCTGTCTGTCTGTCTGTCTGTCTGTCTGTCTATCTATCTATATATATAAGAGTCTCTCCAGACTCTGAACTGGTTCGAGTTCTGGTGTGGTCGGTTCTGGTCTCTCTTAAAGGTACAGTACATGCTGGTGGGAGGCCGGTGAGGGATTCGTGGCGCTCTGTCAAACATGAAAGATGAAAATATTATTTTTTATGAAATGAACCGAATAGAGAAAGTTAATGATTTTTACATTTTATCTTTGTTTTCTTTGATGTTTTTATTATTATTATTTTTATATTATTCATTAATGTGACTGACAGACAGGAAGTGAGACAGGTTTTTCAGAGTAACCGCGCTCCTGTGTTCTGGGAGCGAAGGCCTCCGAGGACCGAGTCCAGAACGAGGAGACGAGAGGAGAGGAAGAATGAAGAGAGAGGAGAGGAGAGAAAGAGAGGGGAGAGGAAGAATGAAGAGAGAGGAGAGGAGAGAAAGAGAGGAGAGAGGAAGAATGAAGAGAGAGGAGAGGAGAGAGGAGAGGAAGAATGAAGAGAGAGGAGAGGAGAGAACGAGCGGAGAGAGAAGAGAGGAGAGGAAGAATGAAGAGAGAGAAGAGGAGAGGGGAGAGAGGAGAGGAAGAATGAAGAGAGAGGAGAGGAAGAATGAAGTGAGAACGAGAGGAGAGAGGAGAGAGGAGAGGTAGAATGAAGAGGAGAGAGAGGAGAGGGGAGAGAGGAGAGAGGAGAGGTAGAATGAAGAGAGAGGAGAGGTAGAATGAGGAGAGAGGAGAGGTAGAATGAAGAGAGGAGAGGTAGAATGAGGAGAGAGGAGAGAGGAGAGGGGAGAGGTAGAATGAGGAGAGGGGAGAGAGGAGAGAGGAGAGAGAGGTAGAATGAGGAGAGAGGAGAGGTAGAATGAAGAGAGAGGAGAGAGGAGGGGAGAGAGGAGAGGTAGAATGAAGAGAGAGGAGAGGTAGAATGAAGAGAGAGGAGAGAGGAGAGGTAGAATGAGGAGAGAGGACAGAGGAGAGGTAGAATGAAGAGAGAGAGAGGAGAGAGGAAGAGGAAGAGAAGCTTAATGTGTTTAGAGAATAAACTACACAAGCAGGAAGAAGAGAGGAAGACTCATTTTGTTTCAGTAAAAAATTCAAACTGAAAAGAAAATGAAAAAGATGACAAACGGAAAAAAGAAAAGGAGAAGAAGAACACAAGGAGGAGAAGAAGAGGACGAAAATAAGAGGAGCGTCTCCTCCTAGATGAAGATGTGGTGGGTGAACGTCCTTCAGACTTTTTTATTCTCATTTTCATTTAAAAAAAAAAAAATCAAAAAATCACTTTTAAAGCTGCAGAAACTAAAAGTAGAGATCAATAAAAACCTGATCAATACGCCGACAATAATAATAATATAATAATAATAATACTCATATTAATATAATAATATCAATAATCATTTTATTAATCACTCTGCTCCGTTTTCTCTCTAATAAAAAGCTGATAATTCAATTTAAATGGACGAATAAATGAGCTGTCTGAAGGAGGACGTGTGATGTAAAGTGCTGGAGGGGGAGGGGTAGTGGGGGGGCAGTGAGGAGGAGCAGGAGGAGTATGAGGAGCAGGAGGAGGAGGAGGAGCAGGAGGAGTATGAGGAGCAGGAGGAGGAGGAGGAGCAGGTGGAGAATGAGGAGGAGGAGGATGAGGAGCAGGAGGAGGATGAGGAGCAGGAGGAGGAGGAGGAGCAGGAGGAGGATGAGGAGCAGGAGGAGGAGGAGGAGCAGGAGGAGGAGGAAGAGGAGGAGGAGCAGCAGGAGGAGGAGGAGGAAACGGCAATCTGGTTTCCAAATGAGAGTTCGTTCTTATGGGACAAAGACATTTTATTATTATTTATTTTATTTCCCTTTATTCTCTTTTATTTTGTTAACATTGATTTGTTGTTCATTTATATATACCTAAATATAAAACAATACATCTGTGCTTCATAATGTTTATTGTAAACATTAATACATTTACATGATGAAAATGAGTTTTAAAATCAACTCATTCATCTTCATGTTTATGAGAAAAGAACCAAACGTTAGAATCAAAACGTGTTAAAAACTAATAATATAAATATAATAATATAAAATACTATAAACAAATAAATAACATTATTATTAATATGACATAAAACACGAAAAAGAAAAGTATAAATAGTTTGTATGTGGATTCTTCTGCTCTTTGATCTCATTTACATGAAGACAAAGTGAGTTACGCTCAGAAGTCCATCGATCAACGTGACGTTTTATTTTACATGTGAATGTAGATTTATTTTATATTATTCTCTATAACTGGTTTGACTTCTGTCCTCTGTGGCCGTAGAACACTCGCTCTCTCTGTGAAATTCTGTTTGGGAGAAGGAGAAGAAGGAGAAGAAGAAGAGAAGAAGAAAGACATTAAATTCACCTTAAAACATTTAATATAAATCTGAATCTGTTTAGTTTCATCTTTTCTTTTTATTCTTTTTGTTTCCGTATTTTTATTGACATAATTTGAAATTGTACATTAGAAAATAAAAGGTTAAATAAATCAATGTAACATTTTATTTCTGTTTTAATTAATGACTGAATTTAAATTCTGAACCTGTAAATTAACGAAAGCGTCTAATTATTATAAATATTTAAAACCAAATGAACAAACATTTTAATTGAATTTGAGAGATTCTTTCTGCAGTTTTTAATCAGATTAACAGACGAGTCTCAGCGCGTGTGTGAGTGTGTGTGTGTGTGTGTTAGACCCTCCTCGTCTTTATTGTGTGTGAAGTGTTTCCTTTTGCATGTGTGTGTGACGGTGCAAGCGCTCGACACACACACACATACACACACACATTTGCATTTAAATAGCGACATCAACCGGCGTTCGTACGGCTCACCGGTGGGTTTCCCAGATGTCACGGCAAAGTCAGATGGGCCAGCTGTCTCTCACACACACACACACACACACACACACACACACACACACACACACAC